TTTGCGGTTGTTTCATTCTATTCAAAAAGAACACAACAAACGAAAAATACAAGAAGAGAAATTACAGATTCAAAGATTTTATATTGGACTGTGTAGAAAAATGACTGAACCAAACAAACAGTGTGGAGAGGGAGAAAAGTAAAGGAATGAAGTGGATGACGAATCTATTGGGTCAGACTAGAGTGCAGTCACGCCTCCGCCCTCGACCTTGAAAAGACCACCAGTGAAAGAGCCAGTAAATCGTCTAGAGGGTGGCTTGAAAATTCACAAAATGGTCCATGTTCCTCCCAGTAACAAGAAGAATGGTGCCCTGTGAAAGTGTCGCGTGAGTGCTAAGCACAAGATTAGAAAAGAAACAAGTATCAAGTATGCAGGCTGTGGTGTGGCTCTCTGCAAACTTTCATGTTTCAATGTTTATCCCACGAAGAAAAACTAATAAAGAGGTATGGAAAAGCATTTATTGCATAAAATATTGTATTTTAATTAGTTCCTGAAAATTTCGTTTTTAAAACCCAATTTTTGTTGAAGTTGTTTAGGAAAAAGTAACTACATGCATTTAAGCGACATAAGGTTTAAAGGGCCTGCCAGGACAGGGGTGGGATTTAAATACCCTTCGCGCCAGTCAAAGAGTTAACAATCCAAACGGCGTCTTCAGTACCAAAACACGTTACAGTATACACAAAAGAGCAGTTTTTTCAAATGAAAATTAACTGTGATTGTTTTTCCATGAAATGCAAAATATAATCTTTATTATATATGTTATGAAATTCCAAAGGACTTACCCGTAATTTTTTCTTCAACCTTGAGACATGATTTTGTAAATATATAATCACACTATCTATATAAATAAAAATGTAAATGTTCGTTTGTTCAGGATCCTAAATCTCCGAAAACTCTTCACCGATTGCTTCAAAATTTTGACACAACGTTGCATTCGAATGCGCACATGTTTTTATATACCTATTATATAGATGTCACACCTGTGACAAGTAAAAACATGATTCTTTTGAAAAACAGAATTGGAATTTGGAATTAAGAAGAGTCACCCCTATGGAAATGCTAGAACAGACCATTGCATAGGAAGTAACAATAGCAATACTGTATCGAATCTCCATGGTTACGACGAATACATGGAGCGTTCCCACAGAGACAACGCAATAACAGTGGGTCGTTGCGGAGGAATCACGGAATCAACAAAGCAGCGTTTCCACGGTTATGACAATGTCGTATGTGCAATCAAATATTCCTAAGCTAACACTTGAGCAAAAAGGCATTTACAATCAAATAATGCAAACTGTCAATAACAGGGATGCAGAATTCTTCTGCTTAGATGCGCCAAGAGGAACTGGTAAAACGTTCCTAATTAGATTGATTCTGGCAGCAATTTGATCCCAAAATGACATAGCCTTAGCTCTTGCATCGTCCGTAATATCTGCGACATTGCTACCAGGTGGAAGAACTGCTAATTCCGCTTTGAAATTGCCATTGAATATGCAATTCATTGAAACTCCCATATGCAACATTTCCAAAGGATCAGGCATGGGAAGGGTATCGCAGAAATGCAAACTTATTTTTTGGGATGAATGCACAATGGCGCACAAAAAATCGCTCGAGGCTCTTCATTGATCATTGCAAGATTTGCGTGGAAACATCAGACCATTTGGGAACGCATTAATATTGCTTGCAGGAGATTTCAGGCAAACATTACCTGTAATTCCTTGATCGACACCAGCGGACGAAATAAATGCATGCCTGAAATACTCTACTTTGTGACGACACGTAAAGACATTAAAATTAACTACAAATATGCATGTCCAGCTGCAAAACGATCAATCAGCTGAGATATTCTCACATCAGTTGCTGGAAATTGGGAACGGAAATGTGCCGGTTGATCTGACCTCAGGACGAATTTCGTTGCCTCATAACTTCTGCAATTTAGTGACGTCAAAAGAAGAATTGGTTGAAAAAGTATTTCCCAGTATTCAAACCAACTATAAGAATCACGATTGGCTGAGTGAACGAGGTATTCTTGCGGCCAAGAACAAAGACGTCTACGAACTTAACAATATCATTCAGTCTAACATTCACTGCAAGGCAGTCACATAGAAGTCCGTCGACACTGTTGTGGAAGCAGATGAAGCGGTTAATTATCCAACAAAATTTTTGAATTCACTCAGTCTGCCACAGCAACGCATGGCCGGGTACAGCTAGTATACAATAATATTTTGTTCAGACTGTATGCGAGTTTGAACTGTGTTACTTCACAATTTACGATACCTCACACTCTGACACACGTGTGCCACTTCTCAAAGCAGTCCTCGACACACAGCGCAACATCACACTTTTTACAATAGAAGAGGGTGCTCCTGCTTTTCTTATTTAGCAAACACACACGACAGTGTCTTTGTTTCCCTTTGGTTGGCCAGTTTTATGAATGTTTCATCTCCAGTCAACTCAGTTGGGCCCCAGGTGAACTTGGCCTCCCCCAAGAAATACCACTGACTGTGATATTCGCCTTGTGAGATTGAAGAATCATCTTGAGGGAGGGGGTTTCAAAGCTTAATCTAAAAATTATGTTGATTGACAAAGCGACACTCTCACCTGTTAGCAATACCCGCAAAATAGTGATGCAAAGTAATTTTAATACGAGTCGAAAAGAGTGCCAGTCCGACACTGATACCAAAAGGCACAGTAACAAAGATACCTTTTACTCACAAAGTAATACTGGCTCAGTGGATTTATACCTCTTCCTAGACATAATATAAAAATGATATATAAAGAAATATATAGCTGACACTGACTTCATCTCTGTTAATTCGCTACTGAAAACCAATCCTTGAATAGATCACACATCCTTGAAAGCTCTAGAAGCACTATCATGAAGCCCAGATAAATATTTACTCTTCAGTTCTCAAAACAAAGCTGGTCTCTATTTGGTTGACCAGGTAAGAAACAGTCTATCTAAACGTAAATCGTATCAAAACCAGTACCGTGATAAACGATTTCATTGTTCAGAGCTAACAAATGAACCACTGATATGACCTTGCTATTCTTCATTAAAGGTTAACAATCATTGTGTTATTTAGGGACAAGACAAGGATTTGAAACATCAAAAAGGAGCTGTGGAAGAAACAAAGCCGAGTAAGAAGACAGGTGAAAAGGAAAAATTAAAGAATGATAAGGATATAAAGGTATCAAAGGAATCGGAAGAGAGCAAAAGGAAAGCTCAGGAAGAATTGATGAAACAGAAGGCAAAGTTAGATGACATAGAACAGAAAAAGCGTGACAAGGAAGAAGAACTTAAGAAGAAACAAGAAGAATGTGACAAGAAAGCTGAAGTGGCAAAGCGTACTGGTGACAAGAAGAGTGCTCGACGAAGAAGGCGTAGTTCCAGCTCCAGTTCAAGTAGCAGTTCCACTTCCAGTAGCAGTAGCAAGAAGTATGAGTCAAACAGGCACTCAAAGCGGCAGAGAGTACATTCACGCTCACCTATCGCATCCAAGAAGAAGTAATTGCTTCATAGTAAGTCTCTCAAGATGGTCCAGAGATTTTTTTTTTCATATAATATCCTGGAGTAGTGTGTGTTATTCACATTTATGCATACTTCACCTTTTGCAGAAACATAACAAAACCACTCAAAATCAAGTGGCAGATATCTTTTTAATTATAATGAAATTCAAAGGAAAAACAAATTGGTAAGTGGAGGAAAGGTTCTTACATCCCACAGATGTAATGACAATAAACACCACTAAGTTAACAGATAAAGTGTACATGTTGTTTTGAGATATGAGAGTCCCACATAAATTAAATAAAGGTTACACTCAGTTCTGTATAGACTGACATACACATTAGGACTAAAATGTATGTATATTGACTAATATACGACAAAAGCTATATATATAAATGTAATATCTTTTTTTTTTTTTTTTGGTTGGTTTAAAATTTTGATCTATGGAGAATCTCATAACAGCAAATTTGTAAGTCATTTCTATATTATGAATTGGGGGTTCCAATTCATGGTAGGAGCAAGAGATTTGGCTATACCTCCATTCCTCCATACATCTTTGTGGCATGGTGCTTAATTAATTAAGCACAGGGACAACTTTGCTTTGCATATTAGTAGGTGAAATGTGCCTCTGTCTCTCTCTCTCTCTCTCTCCCTCTCCCCGCAACAATATCTCCTTTTCGATTTTCTTAGCCCTTTCCTCACTTTTCTATGTCTTCCATTGGCTGGCTGAACTGTCTTGAGCTCGGTCACTCAAGATTTTTTCTTTAAGTTTTAATCAGCAATAGTAATGATTTGGCATTCATGAAGTGATTCTATGTAGCCTTGAGTTAACAAAACCTGGCTTACAAAGGAGGAAATTTGTAGTACAAAACAAAGAAATGTAAAACTTGAAACTTTTAGATGTAAGAATATGAATTAATTAATGTCGACAAGTCATAAACCTTGTGAGACACTTTATGTTAACCAGTGTTTCATTCATGGCCGATATAGTGACTGAGTATGGGCTAGATGACCAAGTGGTCCAATTTCTAGTCCAGGTGGTGGTAAGAATTTTCACTTCTCCACGTTGTCCAGACAAGCTCTGTGGTCCACCTAACCTCCTAGCCAATGGGTACTTGGGGCTTAAGGCGGCCGGGGTGTGAAGCTGATCACTCACCTCCATCTAATGCCAAGATCAAGAAAGTGTGGATCTATACATCCACTCCCTCATACGCCTTCATGGCGTAGTGCTTAATTAGTTAAGCACAGGAACAACACCACCTTTTACTGCACTATAATACAAATTTAATGGGAGTATTCCCAAGAATGACAGTATGATGTTATGTTTATGATTAATGGGTTTCTGGAATGTGTCCATTGTCCATTCTGAATAGGAAACAATTTTTTGGAAACTGGACCTGGTGGGGCATCAGGTTGGTTGGGTCTGTGGTCAAGTTTATTCAGATCAACTCTTTCTAAAACACCCTGGTTGGGTCTGTGGTCAAGTTTATTCAGATCAACTCTTTCTAAAACACCCAGTGGAGTTTGTTTCTCCGCCTTTTCAGTTGAGTATAGAAACAGGTGCACTTTCCAAAACAGAGACTCGCTTCTAAAGTGCCGAAGATTGTAGTGTTCATTTAAATTTATAATTTTACGCAGACAGTTGCCTATTAATCATGTTTAATTTCTTTGTTTATTCCACCGTCTCATTGTAGGTGTATAATCAAGAAGAAGTACACTGAATTCTTATTCATCAGTAGTTGACTGTAAGTTCATGGTAGATTTCACCCATTGATCTAAAGCAAAGGTCTCCAAACTACGGCCCACGATGTGATTTTATCTGGCCCGCGAAATAATTGTGCAGAAATGCGCCAATTGAACTAATTTCCCAATGAGTACTGGTAAAAAAAATACTTGTTCATATATTTCAAATTCATTAATTAAGATTGTGTTTAAAATATATTGATATTCCATATTATGTTAATATTAATATTATTCACAATTTTACTAATTTTGGACCGTATACTGCGCAGTATTTCTTCGTACTTGCTGGGCCTCGATCGGCAGTGTCACTTCATGGCAATGTAGGTAGCGCGAACAGTTTGTTACTAGCCGTCTTGTGCACAAGACTTCTTGCAGTGGTGCAGTGTAACTGTAACAGATCATCACCACCGCCGGTGTTGTACTTATTACCATTTTTGTAATAAAGGCAAGTTATGCCAAGTTTTGCTCTAACTGTTCTGAGAATTGGTAGCAAGGAATTTTGATAAGGCTACCGGAACTTTAGTCCATTCTATGATGGCCAGCTTGTAAATTTATGTCCATTTTTGGGACGACATATCTGTATGAACAAACTGTTTCCCAGATGAAGTACATCAAGCTGAAATACAGGGCAAATTTATCCTATGAACATTTAAAGTCGCTACTTGTGATTAGCGTTTCAAAATTTGAACCTCAATTTAATCAGATTTTAAGAATGCAAAAAGAGTTCCATCATTCACATTAATTGTTTTATTATAATTTGTAATGAAAATATGAGCATTTGCTGCTACTCTCTGTTGTCATTAATATATGATAATTTATTCTCACGTATTTTGTATTTAGTTTATGAAATTCTGTGCTTTCAATAATACTCATATACCTAGAGTTATTAAATTCTCATTTTAGTCGGCCCGTTGAAAGTGCTGAATTACCTAATGTGGCCCTCGTTTCGAAAAGTTTGGAGACCCCCGATCTAAAGGAATATGTCACAGCTGTATTTTATTTATTAGTTATGTTGGAATGTCGAATGCAGCTCATGACACATAGTGGCAGTCCATACTTGGCAGTAAGTCTCATGTGTAAACGTTTTTGAGTTATCCATGGCGTTTTATTTTTGACTTGGTTAATCCTGGTCTGTCACACTATCAGTGGTTTAAAAGATTATTAACTCCATCCAGTGTGATTGATAAACGTGTTTTTTAATCTTTAATTCTCTACATATTTCGGCTGTAGTGACCATCTTCAGAAGGACATTATCAGTACCTATGGAAACTACTAATACAGTGTCATTGGTCCTTATCAATACATAGAGAAACTACTGTTACTATGTCATATATATGAAATATTACCCATCATCCTTTAACAATTACCGCAATGTGCATGGATTTGTTAAAACATATATAAATTAGTATAATTAGTCTATTTTAACAAAAAGTTTTTGAACAGTACTTTGTAAATAGACTAATTATAATAATTTATAAATGTTTTAACAAATTCATGCGCATCGTAGTAATTGTTACAGGATAATATTTTATAACTATGACATTGTAATAGTAGTTTCCATATGTATTGATAATGTCCTTCTGAAGATGGTCTCTCTGACCAAAACATGTAGAGGATGAAAGAATAAAAAAAACAGCATTTATCAATCACACCAGTTAAAAGTAAGTAAGTGAAGGTATCCCTGTAACAGGCCGTGGAGGTACATAAGGTTGTGAGATGTTGAGGTTACCACATTTTCTAGACAATCGGCTCATAAATGGCGCAAGGTTGTCAGCCCTACGTGACGGCCGCCCTTTACCCCAAGAATATTCCTGGTACTCATTTCTGTTAGAGGCTGAGTCGACCCCAGGGCCATAGTGTGGCTGGAAGGATCAGGTCAATTGAAAAAAATCCAATGACCTCATCGGGAGTTGAACCCGCGACCTTCTGGCTTGTAGCATAGTGCCTCAACCAACTATGCTACCGCGTGCCCCCTCAGTCACACCACATGGCGTTAATAATCTTGTATACGTCTTATTTTCCCCTATCATTCATAGATAGCAGGCAGGAAGGCTTTTTTTATTATTTAGCTAGCTTGTGGCACTTACGTCTTTCGGCATAGACCATGTCTCTGCTCGTGTTGCTTGATTTCCAAGAAAATGGTGAATCCTAAGAGCTGTATTGAGGAATTAAAATGCTCTTCCAGGCACAGCAGTGGGTCATTTATGTATTCGTAAATGCCCACACAACGTGGTTGGGGGGGGGGTGATATCTGGAAAGAGGAGGTGAATTATATGTTTTAGTAAGCCAGTGTTGCTAATTTCCTTATTTTCGTCATATACAGCTTGACAGTTCCATCAGCGTGACTTATAAACTTCAACTTGATTTTGATTGATTTATTTGTGTAAGTTGCTGTGTAGTGTGAACTAATACATTATGTAACTGCAAAAATAAAGACACCTTTTTAATGACGTCTACAGTCTTCACTATTTCCATTTGACTTCCCCACCCATTCCGAAGCACACACATCAGTCACGCAGACTCACTCACTAGTGACTCACGCTATTTAATTCTTTGAACCCTTTGGAGCCCTTGGTTGAGTATAACTCGTGGCAGCAAAGTGCTGTGGTACACAGCCTCAAGACTGGCTCATTTATTTTATTTGTTTGTGGTTTATCATCATCATAATGTAGGTGTCAGGAGAGTGCACTCTTCTCCATGCCATCCAGATGAGCTCTGGGGCCCATCCAGCCTTCTATACAATGGGTACCAGGGACTTTCCTGGAGTAAAGTGGCCAGGGCATGAACCTGACCACTCGCCTGCAAATAATGCCAAGGTCAAGAAAATGTGGATCTATACATCCATTCCCCCACATGCCTTCATGGCATAGTGCTTAATTAGTTAAGTAAAGATACAACTTCAGTTTGTCATAATGTACATGTTCTTTAATTAAAATCAAACCCGACATAGTTAAGTGTCATGTATAAATGGCAGGGCCAATCAGTCTGAACTAGACGCATGTTTAGCAAAAAATAACGGGTTTCAGTCCGCAAGCAACCGCCACTTGTAGAAGTTAGTGCCAACTTTAGCAGATAGAGTGTGTTGTGTGGTCAGTCCAATGAATCCCCGCTACCGTTAATTTCGGTTTTCTAGACCGGAGCAGCTACTTTTCCATTCAGGTAGCTCCTGTGAGCCCCGTTCCAGACCCACAACTTCTCAGAAACTCTGGTAGCTCCGGGAATCGAACCCGGAACCACTGGGTATGTTGCTAGGAATTCTGGCCACTGGACCACAGAGCCGGTCAAAAAAATACTGAGAATTCTAATACCTCCACACACTCATTTATGAACTAAGAATCATGGTGGCCATTGTAAATGTTCTTTGGCCCAACAATATGCTC